GTCGTAAGCAAAAAATGCTTGTAAGAAGCGAAAGATAAGCCTATATTAGCCAGGACTCATCCGATATATTGAACCAGATATTTTAATTACTAGATCGAGGTGCATCCACATTTTAATCAACAGAAACTAATTAATTTTTGTCGCGGTAATAACATCACAGTCACGGCTTATATGCCTTTAGGACATGGTAGAGCACTGGTAGGTGAGCCGGTACTTAATGCAATTGCTGGTAAGTATGGAAAAAGTGTGGCACAGGTAGTCATAAGGTGGCATTTACAGAGGGGACTCGTTGCTATACCTAGAAGTGGACAAAGTCAACATATTGAGGAAAATTTTGATGTATCCAATTTTGTGTTAAATGACCAGGATATGTCGAATATTACTGCCATTGCTCAGGAACCCAGGATCAATCATATTCCACCCTATCGCAATCACCCTGATTATCCATTTTAAAAATTATTGGAAAGCAAAATATAGTTGGATTTGATAATTATTTAATATTTAATTTAATAAATCAAAATTAATTTTATTTTTAATTAATTTTTACCATGCTGAAAAAGTGATAATCACTTGTATTTTAGTTAAATAATTTATTTATTAATATAATATGAATTATTTGTTTTGAGATAGTTAACTAATTATTTTGTAAAATAATCCGGTTTGTCATTATTAAAATTAGCGACATTACAAGTTATGTTACATGTACTGAAAATAAATGTCAATATTATACAAACTTATACGCGCATGTTAATAAGATTATAAGTATTGTAAACGTAAAGCTATCATTTAAAAATAAACAAGAAACAATTAACATTACGGATCTCTACTGTTGCCTCTGAAAAGTGTTTACAATATCAATGATCTCTAATTGTTAACATTAAACAAATATTGAATATTTTAATTAAACGAATTTATAATACTAATATATACCTATTTTATCGTGTATTAAAATTTTCCATTCATTTAATTTTGTTAAAACCTTTCGTATTATTAAACGTTTTTTGTGAATTACATTTATAATGCACATTAAATATATTATAAATACAATTGTATTTAATAACAATGCGCATACAATTAAATACGTATTATTATATTGTGCATATACATAATAAACCACAACTAAATGTGTTACATTTATAATACAGATATTAAATATTATAAACTAAATTAATTTGCCAACATGTTTATTCAAAATATAATTATCAATTGAAATATTTTTAATTGCGATTGATATATCGTATAAATAATCATTAGCCGGATCATTAAATTTCACAAGTATTCCATACATTATGTCCAGTGTTTTGGTGTATTTCAGTGTTATGTCAAGGTATAGTATTTGTCCAAAATTTATCCAGCCAACTACATAAAATATGGTAAATGGTGCGTGGTGCTGATATTTAAATTGACCAATATCCAATATGTTGAATACGCCATAGTAGTATATTAATATTAATGCAATCACAAAATTTACAAAATGACATATTATATAAAATATTATTAATTTATATTTTTTATTGATCTTATATTTAACGTAATATGCATTTAATTCATCGTTAATTTCAACGATTTTTTTTGAATTGAGTTTCACAAATATATATGAAATAAGCGAGGACAAAAGTATTAATATATTTAAAACTTTGAACCAAAAGTCATAACTATTTGATAAGTTGTTGATTGTTAATATTATCTGTAGTAATACACCAATTTGTGTGCTTATTATATACGCGGTGATAGTATTGATAATTATATTATTAATTGGCAGTAATCCGTAAACATATAATATTTGGTATATTATTGAACTTTTCTGACACATTTTTGGGTAATAATATTTTATAATTAGTATTTATAATATAATCAATAGGTTGAAATTATACTAAATCAGGGCTGCATACTAGTAGCAAAACTGTATTTATGTAATAATGTTACTTTCTAAATGTTAGCTTTTAAATAAATATTTATTTTTTAAGTAGATTATTTATTATTAAAATTTTTTTTGAATTTAATTTAAAATATACTATATTATTAAATAAAATATTTACAGTTCTTAGATTTTCACTTTTTAATTTAGATTAAAATCTGTTTGAAAAAATATTTTTCAAATATAAGTAGAAATTTTTTATTCTATTCAACAAATAAAGAAAATATTAAATTTTTTTATTAGATCCTGTTTTGTAAATATTAGATATTGATACTATGATATTGTAAAAATTTAATGAAAATTTTTTTTATTGTCCTTGTTATTACTTTATAATATCTTTAGAAAATTTCAAAATATTTCAATTCAATTCAATAGTAATACTAAACTTAAAGTGTAATACACAAATAGGGTACATATCTATGTTATATAAAATATATTAAAATATAAGATATATAATGTCTAGACTAGACGTTGTTTACTGTTGTAGACTACTGTAGACGTTATGCAATTAGTTAAATTTACATAATAATTAGTCAATTAGTTTAATTTATCTTATTAAAAAATATCATCGTAGATATTAAACGTATATTGAAAACATTTTAAGTTTTAATACATAAAATTATAATATTGAATAATTTATTAATTTACATTAGTTTGATGATAAAACATTCATAACCATGTATAATATTATGGTATAAATATAATTTTTCATATTAAGCAGTCCTTTAATGTAAGATATTGAAATAATTATAAAATTTTCTAATACTTTTGTAAAAGTTTTAAATTAATGTTTTAAATTTACATTTAATTTATATTTCAATGACAAGTTTTTTAAATCAATAAATTATTAATAAAATAATCCGGGCTATCATTACTATGCACAATATAATAATACGTATTTAATTGCATGCGCATTGTTATTAAATACAATTGTATTTATAATATATTTAATGTGCATTATAAATGTAATTCACAAAAAACGTTTAATAATACGAAAGGTTTTAACAAAATTAAATGAATGGAAAATTATAATACACAATAAAATAGCTATATATTAGTATTAAACATTGATTTTTAATTAAATATGCAATATTTGTTAAATGTTAACAATTAGGGATTATTGATATTGTAAACACTTATCATAGACAACAATAGAGATCTGTTAAAATGTCAATTGTTTATTGTACATTTTTAAATAATACCTTCACGTTAACAATACTTATAATTTTATTAGCATGAGTTTATAAATAATTTATTAGCATTAATGCTATGTTATATCTTAATAATCTCTCCATATTCAAATATTTCAAAATTTTAAACAATGGCATGAAACGACTTTAGTTGAATGTATGCAATTAAATAGCCATGTTTAAATTAATGAATAAATTTGTTTGTTATTAATTATTGTGTGTAAAAAGTGACAAATCAATTAAATAAAATCATGCTTTAAACAAATAAGTTTGTATAATATTGACTTTTATTTTCAGTACATGTAATATAACTTATAATGTCGCTAATTATAATAATGCCAAACCGGATTATTTCACAAAATATTTAGTTAACTATCACATCGACAATTATCGAGGTATATTTTATGTGTATTAAATTTTTCAATAGTAGCTACAAATCTGCAATTACTATAATTTTAATAGCAGAATTTTCAATCTTCTGTTGAATAAAATAAAAATATTTATACTTAATTTGAAAAAAAAAATTTTTCAAACAGATTATAATCTAAAATAAAAAGTGAAAATCTAAGAACTGTAAATATTTTATTGAATAATATGGTATATTTTAAAATGAATTCAAAGAAAACTTTAATTATAAATAATGTACTTAAAAAATAAATATTGATTTAAGAAGCTAACATACAATCAAGGAATTAACTATTTTTCTCCGTTACCGATTTAATACTCGAAAACGGATAATCCAATCCTAATCCTCTCTTCACACTTTTATAGCCCCTACTTTGTGGATTGTAAATATAATTTTTATTGTATACAAAACTACCATGGTAACTGCGGTATTTAAGTTTGAAAAAAGAGGTTTTTACATTGAAATACATTAGTTTTGGTTATAAAAAAATTCATAATGCAAAACTGGTGCCTGTGAATTCCATTTATTCCTAAACTAACCATGATAAAATTAATCCTTTTAAGGGGAATTTGTAGAATTTGTAGATAACTTTATACTCTCGACCGCCCGTTCCCTGCTATGAAAATTATTCCACACTTTTGTGACGATAAAGTGGTCTTCCCGGTCAACCATACAGGCGCTGAATAGCTCTTTCAGTGCCGCGCCGATAACTTTCTCCGTGTCATACATGTAGGCGCTGTCGATGTGTCGGTACCCAACCATAACGCCCTCTTTGATGGCCTCTATAGCATCCGCTTGACTACTGTTCCCAGTGCCCTTCCTGTCCGGTGCTAATTGCCAGGTCCCGTAGCCCAGCGCCGGTATCATATTACCATAATTTAGTTTTTGTTGTATATTATCTATGAAATTGTATGTGATTTACAAAAATAACCTACTTAAAATGTACTTGTTAAAATATAAATTTTATACAATTATAATATACTGAATAGTCTATTGTTTATATAGTAGAATTGAAAAATAATTTGAAAATTAGGGCACCGACTTCTTTGCACCCCTTGCACCGCTAGTACCCTTTGCACCCCATTCACCACTTTATTTCATTTTATTCATGTAATGACATTTAATATTCTGTAGTTTAAAACATTCTACTAAACTATTTTCTAATGAAATTAAATTATATGAATATGTTATGCTTCGGGATCTCTTACGGACAGACAATCAGGACTTGGGGTGTATTTGTCTGCCCAAAGCATTAGACTCTCTCTCTGGGGAACAAACTTTAAGCGCTCACGACTGCAGCTGGCTTTAGGTTACGCTGACCGCGTTGGCCAGTCGTAGCTCTTACTCGGGATCTTACGCAAGTGGTCACTACTGCTGGTCAGCGACTCTTACTACCGGTGCTCGTGTTGTAGAACTTGCGGTAGGATTGGGAACAAAAGAATATACGTGCTCTCCTTTGTGACCAAACCTCTTGAGACGGGCCGCAGAATATACGGGCTCTCTGTGGACCAGTGGTGACGTCGATGTGGTGTCCTTATGACGATCGGCGTCAACACGTCTCGAATGATGTATTGATTTGTGTGCCTTCTCGGGTCTGTTACAGCAAATCCCTGACCTCGTTAACAGTTAAGTTAAGGTCCAAGATATGTACAACACGATGATTGACAATACTAGGTTTACAGTTATAAACAATGTTTATTCAATAAGTGTCGTACGAGAAGTGATTAGAAAAATACAAAATGTGTTTTTTAAGTAGAAATAAAATGTAAAATCTTGACAGGTGTCTGTCTGTGATTGGTTTAGAGAAAACAGGTTTTGAGTAAATGGAAAGGTTTTGAACAATTAATTAGGGATTAATAAGTAAAGGATTAGATTGCTAATTAATAGTTGAAAACTGTTTGTCAATTAGAAAATGAGTGAATAATGAGATCGGATTTTGATGTGAGAATCGATTGCATTACAAATATATTATGCTAGCATAATATTATTTAATATAATATTAATGGGGCCGGGTCTATTGACCTAAAAACCAATTGACCTAAACTTAAATA